GCCTTAAAATAAAGTAGAAATAACTTATCTGATTGCATTTCCTGTCTGGTCTGCCTGAGAAACTGACAATTGGAGTCTTAATGCCTCTGGAAAGATTAAAAAAAGCTCTCAAAATTCCATCTGTTCGAAAAAACATCCCAAATAGCGTGACAATTTAAGTCCTACACATTCTGGTGGTATCATAATACTCCAGCCCTTACCTCAGGCAATTCTAAGAAATGTACTGTGCTTAGCTTGAAAATTGATAAAGATTTCCTACTTCACCCTAATGATTGAAAAGATTATTAATTCATGTAGTTCAAAAAACATACAGTCCAGTTTTGCTACCCTAGAATTTGATAAGACAGGAGATGGGTCTATGATAATTTGCCATGGCCAACTCACTGTGGCCAACTCACTATGGCCAACTCACCATAGCCCACTTGCCATGGCCCACTTGCCATGGCTACTCGCTGCAGGGCAACTTGCCATGGGTAACTTGCCGTGGGGCAATCTGCTGTTGATCAAGAGTGACACTAATATTAAAGAAATGGTGGAATAGAATTATTAAAGAAAGGATGCAAAAGAAGAAACAGAATGAAATGTGAATGACAAAAATTAAAATATTTTTTATTTATTTTGAATTAAATTGTTAAATTGTTCTGCGATGAGTTGTCCTGCAGGGAGTTGGCCATGGTGAGTTGTCCCACAGTGAGTTGGCCATGGTGAGTTGACCGCAGCAAGTTGGCTGTGCAAGTTTTCCCATTCCGAAAGGAACTGTATCTTAAATCTCTATATAAGATTTAAGATAAGAGTGGATTGGGTCTCTAAAAGTAAGGATAATAACAAGAAAGGGTACCATGCTCCATAAATTGTTTTGTCTACATGTCTGACAGAGCATTGAAAATCTAAGGATGTTCTTCAGCCTCCACAATTTTGTACTAATTTAGCTGTTCACCCAACCAGAGACATAGAAGAAAGCAGATTTGTATTATAGGTATTCATTATTATTATCTTCACAATTGGCAAGAAGAATTTTAAAAAAGAAAATGAAGCTACTGACAATCTTTCCAACATGCTCTGTAGAGAAGATCTGCTGAGGGCTAGACAGATATCAAAAACCAACAGCATGATCATGATTGCTCCCTCACCAGATAAGTTTGTTAATCAGAGTGAACAGTTTATTGAAAGTAAATGCTAAAGAAAGCTATGGCCAATTATATTTCAAGATGATTTTTAAACCACACAAATTTACAACACACCCTATCTGCCTCCAAAAATATTTAGTTCAAGTAAATGTAGCATATAGAGTTATCCAGATTTTATTTCCCAGACTGAAACATGGAAAATAACTGGTTATTTGTTCCAAATTGTTAGTGTCCTAAATCTAGGAGAGGAATGTGTTTTTACTAAATCTTGAGAGAACAGTTTAAGAAATGGTAAGGTATTGCAATGATTAGAAATGTATTGGGAAGTGCCCCATTAATAAATAAACGAAATAGCCTAGTATATGTAACATAATAACCATTCTCTAGTTTTCTTTCCTCCTTATATCCATAGTATATAGTTTTTAACTCTGTGGTAGAAATAAAGAAGAAATGTGCCCAAATTTTTAAACAAATTCATCCTATGCATATTTCACAAAATCATATAAAAGCAGGAAAAAAGATGCATACTATATTCCTCACAAATAAGAATTCAGAAAGACTTTATGATCAAAAAAACAACAAGTAAACAATATCAAGTTTGATAAATTTCTCAAATATATATCTCCATGCATCCATTGTCATCAACTTGACCTCAGTTCATTCAATTCATGCTTGCCTATAGTTTTACTCATTTCAGTCAATTCCCTTCCTGAATGCCTTCATCCAAAGATTATTTTGACACTCAAAACACAAACAGCTTTGGACATGACATGATATAGCAGAGGAAAAAAAGAATCCAAGAAAAAGAAGTCCTGTCAATAAAACCATTTAACATTTGATGTTTTATCTCCACTGCCTAAAATAACACCACAAGCTGTTTCTGTATCAGGAAGTTTTATAATCTGACAGGCAGGAAAATAGCATGATTCCTATTTAGCCAAATTGTAGAAAATTTGAAATAAGTGTTGCCAAATATTTCAATATTTTGGCCAAACAGGTCACTACTACCACTAGTACTACCACCCAAAATCAAAGAGGAGTATGTATATTCTGAAAGCATAAAGGTGTCTGTGTTTTTAATAGGCAGGAAAACAAGGTGAATATATTCTTTATATGGTGGAGAAGACAGAAAAAGACTGCAGAAGAAAGAAAAGTATAGGAAAAACCACTTCTGTGTACATCACTGTATAGATTTAGGTTTAATCCAGATCTGAACTTTATACTCTACAAGAGATCTTTCTTCTGATCACAGGACTATGACAAATAAGCTGTTTGCGGTTTCTCAAAAAAGGAAAGGCATGAATTCAAAATAAATTTCTTTTTGGGATTCTTAAATATAATCTACATATGCTTTCACTAATGTTAAACTGTTAGAATTCTATTTATTATTTGATCTTTGTGGGACTAATTAATCAGTCCTCTAGTCTATAAACAGAATTCAATTAATGTAAGGTAGGACCTGGCCGGTAGTTGAAAAGGTGATGATGGGAAAACTCAGGGCTGTAAATTTTGTGAAGCAATACAACAAATGACAAAAGTATCCTTGAGAGCTAACTATAAAATTGCATGGGTCACCCAGGAGCCAGGATTGGTTTGAGGGGACCTTTACCTTCTTATTCAAACTCATTGCAAGTTCCACTATGCATAGACAGTTACAGTCCTAATCTCTTCATAAAAAGCAGCATATTTATCTCTTTGGGGGCAAAAGTTCGATATAGGTTGTGGAGAGAAGGAGAAACATAATGTAAAGTGGGCTGAGTTGATCAGGGGAGAATGTAGGTTTTCCCAATCTGTTGATGATATATTGGGTAAATATTATGAGAACTGAACTCCAATATTTGTGAAAAGTACTGAGCTACTGGATACTGAGCTAGGATTACAAAATGTTGCTATGGGGCAACATTTTTGCTCTAAAAACCTAGCAATTAATGGATGTAACTTCCCTATTTAATATTTATACAACCACTGGTGCCAGTTCATAGTCCTTTATCAATCAATCCTATATACATTTTCTCAGAAATAAAGTTCTCTTATGTTCAACTGCTCTTACTAAGTCTGCATTAAATTACTTATTTATTTAATTAATATCTACTATGCTAATATTTCTTTAACATTATGGAGTTCCTGAAGACGGAGCCAGGTAAATTTTCAAAAATCCAAATAGTATTTCCCCCCCAATAACTTATTTGACACCAGTACTGGAGAGTGAACAAAGAACACACTGTCAAAGAGGAAATCTGCACAGAATGTTACTGTTTGTTCTCTATGAATGCAGAAGTATATTTGCTAAAAGAAAAGCATTCCATTCCTCTCCAGAGATTTCCCCTTCATTCAGTAGAACGACAGCTCTGGGTTCACATCCCTTCCATTCAAGTTGTCAGCCTATCAGTTACAGACCCTTATTTGCTAGGCAGTCCTTTGCTACAAAAATTAATCCTAGACTTCAACTTGGCTTTACTTGTTCCTAATACGAAAGTGTTTGCTTTTGCTCTTGGAAGCTAAATGAGGGCATTTAAATATTGAACTAGTGGAAAATTACTGTGCAGAAAATGTTCTTTGGCACATCATTCTTGCATTTTCACAAAAAGTTAATACCATAATTGATTATTGACATATTTGCTATCCTTTGTCTTCCCCAAATGGACAAATTGAGGTAGGATTTCTCTTATTTGGAGTACTGCATTCAGACTAATTCTTATTCCAGGTTGTAGTTCTTTTGGCTTTCTTCTGTGTTTGCTCCAATTACTCTTACATTTGCTCTGCCTCAGTGTAATATAAGGAACCATGTAACTGGTGGGTTCCAGAGAACAGAACTGGTGGAGCATCGTATTAGTGGCAACACTTCTTTAAAAAGATTTTCCAAGGTCATTCTCTATTTTTACTCTAATTCTGTATCCCTCTTTATTCTAGCAGATAGTCTATGACTGATTGCTGTTGTTATTCTTGGCTGGTGACTATAAAATACTATCTTCCTCAATCTGCCACCCACTGTATGCTTTGGGAGACCAATCAAAATTCCTATCTAGCTGTCAGACCAACCTTCATCAGTTGGCTAAATGCAGTGCAGTAGATTGAAGAATGAGTTGAAAGAAGGGAAAGGGACAATTAAAACAAGTTTAAGGAAGAATAGTGACGATACTGATATAAATTGTTATTCAAAGAAAAAATGACACAAAGGAATTTTAGCCAACGATAGAGGTAAGGATACAGTTAATAAGCAAAAGGAAGCTAAAGGAGGCAGCAAGTCAAAACCAGTTCATGTGCTCAGGAAGAGATGCAGTTTTTCTTGCACAACAAACCTGACGTACAGGCGGCTGTTGGCAGGCAGCGTGTTAGTGAGAAACTTAAAGGAATCCTAAAAGGTATTATATCAAGATATGGTGGACTCATAGAAAACAACAACAACAAAACCCAAAGAAATATTTTTTATTTCTGTAGGTCTTTGCTGATTTGACCAGCACACTGTAAAAAGAAGATTTTTTTTTTCTCAAATAGATGCGCAATTCTGAAGAGCAAATGATTTGCTGTCAACTTTAGACTTGTTTAAATCTTTTCAAATGCAATAATCAGACAGAAAATAAAAATTCAAAAGACTAAAATATCCTTCTTTACTTAAAATTAATTATGAACATAGCTGGCATTTGAGAACTTTTTTCTCAGTAATTAAGAGTTGAACAAAAGTCACCCAGCCTCGCAAAACTTTTGTGTAATATGTGCAAATGAAAGATACAGAATGAGAAAGAAAAAAAGAAAGAAGTATAACTCTTGTGGCAGGTTCTTATAGAATAATTTATAGGCTAGAAAGGTTATCTAAGAATGAAGAACAAAACTGCAAATCCTTAAGATATACACACACAAAAAGTAGAGAATTACCAGTCAGACGAGTCTTCCTGTTTTTGAAATGTCGCAGATATTAGTATTTTTGTTCTTGTACATCCAGATCTTGTTAACCCGGTCTTTTCTTAATGCTTAGTTCCTCTAAAGGTCTAAGTTTAACTGAAGAACAAGAACCTGCAATCAAGAGAAAAAGAGAAGGCGATAAGAGCAGGAAAGAATTTCAGCTGCTGGCTGCTGCTACTGTTCTAGAAGCATTTGAGCTATTTTCAGCACTTGGCAGGTTTGTCTGCAGTAAGAGAAACCAGAAAAGTACATAGGCAGGAAACTTAGGAGAACTTGGTCTGCTGCTCAAATTCCACATCCACTTTTGAAATGTTGAGAAAAATCAATTTTCAGGCCATTTGAAAAAGTACACTGCGTGTTTGCACCAGAACCAGACCACAATCGCCTTCATTTTTCTTGGACCCAGTAACCAGTGTGGCAGGCACAGAAAATGTTGTGTGTCTCGTTTCTGACAGACTCATGCCAGTTTCTCTAAACAGAAGTTCATTCTCCCCTTATTTTATTTTGCATCCAAAAGTTTTCGATCCTTCTGGCATCAGTGTCCACGAACAAACTCAGCTTCCTAAAAGGGAAGCCACCAGTTTATTTCCAGTTTGCAACTAAATTTTTGGAATCAGTCACTCAGCTATTTCTGAATGTTAGTGACCGAGGCTGTTGACATTGTAGTATTTAACTAACAAGGAATCTGAAACCAATCAGTATTGCAATTACATTTTCACTCACTGCCATGAAAGATAAACAATCAAGTTCTCTTCAACTTAGAATAGCATAGTTATTATATATTTGATATATTTAGGCACTCACCTTGTTCAAACCATGTTCAACACATTTTTTTTTTACTTTTAATCTTTAGATTCAGAGTTTTGGTATTTTTATGGGTTTGAATCTTTGATGGTTTAGCTTGCTGAGGTTTCAATTATTGGGTTCTAAATAGGTAAATAAAGCATATTTTAGAAACTTTAAGAAAAATCTATCTTTGCAGATGGAAAGCTGTGACTGAGAGAAAGGTAGAGATCTTGGCAGGACCAAATTTTGGAAAATATCTCCATTTTAAAGGCATAATTACCATCAGGAAGGAAAAAGTAATTATTTGTGAATTAGCCCTTTCCCACATATCAGTGAACTTTCCAGGATGTCTAGAAGAGTGTGTATTGTTTGATTTCCTAACTGTGTTTTTCAGAAGACATCCTGCATCATCCAGAAACCACCAGATTACTCATATTTATTCTGAAATGTTCTTCAAAGGGTTTTCCCTATTAGATTTGAAAATTAGTACACACACACAAAACAAAATGATTTGTAAATCTTCTACTCAGGTTTCAGGTCAATCAATTTTTTATAACTTGTTGAAAGGGGTAAATTAATCCTATACCTTGGTGCTTGATACACAGGATATTTTCAGGAGGAGAGGGAAGAAGTAATACAAAACTCAGCAATAGAAATTCACATAGGGAAGGGTTTCTTTTTAAGAAAAATACTCAACCAACAGATTTCCTAGAATTCATATTTTATTCAAGACAGTAGAATGAACATTCTCTGGAACAATTTCTTTAATTGTTGTCTGTGATTAAATATAAGCAATATTTATAAAATGTTCTACTAATTGGCATACATTCTGTTTCATGTATACTGCTAATTTTGTTTGCTTTTGCCAATGTACTATGTGGGAGGAAAGTCTTGAACATAGTGCTGCATTCAGCAAGCTGCAAATCGTGATTAAGCAGGTGTGAAGGACTCTTTCATATTAGACTGTAATATTACAAAAGCATCAGAGCTCAACCTTCAGGTTGATTCAACCATTACTGTTGCTACTCCATTTATGGGTGCTCCTTGCACTTCTCTTCTCTAAATGGGAACATGAAGAACCATTAATTACAGTGCTAAATAATTAAAATGGGAAGAAGGGAGAGAGAGATGGAGGAAATTAGTATGCTTTGTTTCTTTGGCATTCATATTGTGCATCAATAGAAACCAACAGGTTTGTATATAAAAAGACTTAGCTTCACACCTAGTAAGTCTGCAGTTAAAAAGGATTAGGCAACAGGTCATGGAAAAGAAAAAACATGGGCTAGATGGACAGGTAGTCTGAACAGGTATATCATCCAGGTTAGTCATCCATCCTTGCTCTTCTTGACCTCTCAGAAGCTTTTGATACCATTGACTATGGTATCCTTCTGGAGCGGCTTCAGGGGATTGGAATGGGGGGGACCTGTGCTATCCTATCACTTCGTTCCTCTGTGGCAGTTCTTAGTCAGTGCTGATATGAGGGGCAGATCCAGCCCTCAGCCACTGCTTTGTGGGGTCCCACAGGGCTCGGTAATTTCTCCGTTCCTATTCAACATTTACATGAAGCCTTGTGATGGCACTGTCCCAAACAGACTCTGCGCATAATTGGAGGATTCTCCTGGACTTGTAACTCCTGCTCAAAGAGCAGGTGGCAGTCATGGCTAGGAGGGACTTTGCGCAATTGCTGGTTGTGTGCCAGTTATGCCCTTTCCTGGACCAAAAGCCCTTCTCACGGTCACTCATGCTCTTGTCACCTCCCATCTTGACTATTGCAATGCACTCTACATGGAGCTCCCCTTGAAGACCATCAAGAAGCTTCAGTTGGTGCAAAATGCAGTGGCCTTTGTGCAGACCTCGATGTGCACATTTCACCTCTGTGGGAACTGCATTGGTTGGCAGTTTGCTTTCAGGTGCAATTCAAGGTGCTGATTGTCACCTTTAAAGCTCTTCATGGCTTGGGACCAAGTTATCTGAGGGACCATCTCTTGCCGGTCACAGCTACCTGATCCGCTAGAGTGAGAAGGCAAGGAATGTTGAGGGTCCCATCCCCTAGGGAGATACATCTGACAGGACTCAAAGAAAGGCCTTCTCTGTGGTGGCTACTTCTCTCTGGAACATCATTCCCCAAAAGATTAGATTGGCCCCACCCTAACATTCTTCTGAAAGGTGCTGAAGACCTGGTTCTGCCAGCAGGCCTGGGGAACCCAGAGCAGGATGGAGCGCACTAAATGTCTTGTATGAATTTGTGTTGTCACCAGGATGAAGGTGGGGAGCTATTATTTTTTATTATTTTCTTTTATTGTTTTTATATTTGTGTAACCAGTTTTGAGTTGCCACGGGTGAGTAGGCAGTAATGTAACATTTCTAAAATAAAAATAAATAAATAAATAAAAAACATGACCATGCCTTATTATCAAGTCCCAAGAAGTCTATATTTTGCATTGGTTGTGTGCAGAATTTTGCCTTTTTTAATGCATTACCTCTAAACCTTAGCTACCAAAAAGCTAGAACATAAACTTTACTAAACTATCAGGCCAAATGCCAGTTCTTGCTAGTAAATACTTGTTCTATTATCTTCTGGATAAGGGATGCATAATATTACTTGGAGACTAGAAAAGAATAGGATCAGGATAAACCCAAATTTGAATAAATTTATATTTGAGAGTCTGGCATATTTTAGATATGCTGTGGCTACACTTTGCTAACGGCAAGATGTATGAGAATCATATAAAAAGTACCTGGAAGACACCAATTCACTAATCCCTGTCCTAAGTCTCCCCAATAGTGAACATTCATTTTTAAACAAAATTTCCCTAATATTTCTCCCTGGAATGATATATGAATAAAGAAATCTGAAAACACTGGATCAAATCATTACTTTCATAATTGCATACAGAATATATATGGTTGAACATGGATGTTGGACACATACTGTACATACATCACATAGTGGAGAATCTGAATATGAACAACTATTTTTCCCATTACAAAGAGTGGGTGAGCATCCAGAAGGACAACAGACTAAATTATTGCTTTGAGCAATTATTCAAAAAAAAAAAAAAAGAATAGCTCACGAACTCTATTCTATGACTCAGAGTAAACCAGAATATTTTTTTTTAATCAGAAGTTTTGACTGAGACTGATAGGAGTTGTCTAACATGTTGGGATGAATGTATAAGATGGCTCAAATACTTTGAAGATAATGAGTAGCATTTTATAGGTTTGAAAGTTCAATCTTCTTCTACGTTATGGTATCAAGTGTTTCTCAATCTTGGGATGTGTGGCTAGTGGGAAATTCTGGGAGTTCAAGCCTGTCTTAAAACTTGCCATGATTGACAAATGCTGTTTTGGATAGAGATTTTACAAAGCTGATTGATAATGCATTGATCAGATTCTAATCCATTCACTTGACTTTACAAAGACACAAGAGGATTGGTCTGGGGTGTTCTACTGTAAGTAACTTGATCCAGTTCATGGAGAAGGAACAAGAAGTTTTACAAGCATTGCAAATGCAGTCTCAACTATATCTTTCCAGACAATAGATAACAGCTTATGCAAAAAAAATGTTCCAAGTAGGGCTCTATCAATGGCATATGAATGTTATTTGACCAGGATGAAATTGTCCGGGCAGGAGAGAGACAGAATGTAAAGAATGTAAGCACGTGATATGACTTCCTTCAATGATTAAATCCTTGGGTGTGAAAAGAAGAAGGCTAAAACGTCACTTTATAAGGAGAGTACAAAAAAGTAGATAAAATTTGAAGTAGGACTGGATGTCATAAATTCTGCACCATCTATCCAGTCTTCTCAGGGACTGTCAAGTATTTGTCACTGCAGAATTACAGTAAAAATTTAGATTCTAGTCATGTTCAACTAAATCTCCAGAGAGTTATAAACTAATTTATGCCTTTATCAAGAAAGCATGCATATAGAAAAGCAGATGTCACCCATAAAGACCGTTGTCCACATCTTTCTTTGACACTCCAATTTTGGGGATACTGGGAGATGCTAAGAAAAAGCAATGAAAACAAACTCTCCTTCTATCTGCAATACTATCTGAATAATGGGGCCATAACCACATTTGCTAGGATGTGGAAATATCCGGTTCCCAGAGTTAAAAGAGTACTGCTTCGAAAAAGAAACTTCAATGGTGATTCAGTGTAGTGAAGCAATTAAGGTACTGGACTGACACTGGGAGTTCTAATCTTTCACCAAGCTACAGAAATTCGCTTTGTGGCTTTTGACCAGTTATTCTTCTTTAGCCCAGCCTACCTGAAGAGGAGGGAGCACTGGGTATGCAATCTTGAGTCCCTGTATAAATAGCAGGGTATCAATCAATCAATCAATGAGTCAATCAATTAAACAAATAAAAGACCAGTGTCTTCAGGATCTAGGCAAGATATATGGTGATCACAGGAAGCAAAATTGCCAGTAGTCCCATCAATACTGTGTTGTGCCTCTATTTATATATTTGAAACAAAGAACAATTGACCTTGTCTAAATCATGAATGAGGCAAATGCTTAATGATAGAAAAAATCTGGAGGAAATGTCAATTTTACAATGCTCATTCTGGCTTAAG